GTCATTGTCTACCTCGATGCATGAAATGCAAAATCCTGGGCAGGACTCCTGCTCATGGCTCCTTTCTCCTCCCATGGGTTTTGGAAAATGCTGCTGTTGGAAAAGAAGCTACCCAGTGTGCTGCAGCACAGCTCATACTGGCGTGTTTGCCAAAACCTCTGCCCCAAAGGGGATCATTTGACCAATGACAAGATATCAGTATATCTCAAGGGAAAAATATTGTCATCATCATCATCCTAATGTTGATAGGAAACATTGTGCCAGGTTGTATGAAAATTATCTCTTTTTCCTTTGAAAGCTAGAAATATGTGATGTATGTCTATGCATGATTTTTTTTTAAATTACTATTTCTAATTGAATATTACTCCATATACAATGCTGCTTATTTTTGAAATCTCTTGATCTTGTAGGCTTTTAAGAGTGGAATAAACAGGTCTCTTGTATAAACATTCATACCTCTAGTTCTCATTGGAGATGAGAGGACTGCCCCATTTGCTGAAACTATGGGGTTAGCAACATAATGTCCCAGTGAGCTGTGTTCATGAGGTAGTCAATATAATGTGCTTTAGAATGATCTTGCCTATTTCTTGAAAAGAACTAACTAGTTATTTTAGGACTTAAATATTGGACCAGCTGTTCCTATAGTTAGCAGAGTTCTTAATAGGTGTAATAGGGAGGTGAAATGAGAAAAACAGACTGATCTCAAGTCTCACTCACAGGTGTGGATTTTTGTTTGTTTGTTTGTTTGTTTGTTTTTTCCTTTTTATTTTAAGACAAAAGATCAGGTAGACAGGACATCTAGAGGAAATATTTTTCCCCTTTTATTGAGCTATTGAAGTAATTGCAATGGCTTTTTTCTTCTTCCCAAAGACTAAAGATAGATCCTAAATCAAATAATAAATCACATATAAGAGAAAAATAAAATAAATGCTATATCAAATCCGTCTAAAATGTCCACAAAAAATGAACAGTGTAGAGACAGCTGTGTGTGGAAAAAATATTGAGCATCTTGTAGCCACCATTTGTCAAATAATGTAATTTAACAATTGCTGGCATACAAAAAGCAAAAAGACAGAAAGATGTATCACGGCAAAATAAAACATAGTATATTATCGATATTGAGAGCATGTTTATATTGGGGTTTTCAGAATTTGAATCCAGCCTTTTTACATACAGAAAATAATTTTAAAAAACATTGCTTCAGATGGAACTATTGCAGGAGAAAAGCTTTTCTTATCAAACAAAATGAAAAGTTAAGTACCTGAGTTCTGTGAAAATTAACTGTCACAATTCAGGGTATGGCATATATTTTATCCTGCTCTCTGAATGAACTTTCCTGAGATGTCTGACCTTGAGCTCCTGCTTTACTTTGATTTTGTCTCTCTGAGACCTTTACTTAGGTCTTAGAAAAGAAMATTTTTGTTTTCTTGTACTGTTTTCTTGTACTGTTACCAGAGCCTTCACAAAGTAAAATTATTATTTAATCTTAACAGAATTGAAATTTAATACAAGAGGTTTCTTTTTTCTCTYCTCAGTCTTACCCAGAGATCTAGTAGGTCTGGTGTACCTTAGAGTCTCTTCAGAGGATATGGTCTTTTTTCTCCTTTTCTCATTGTTAAAATTGTCTTTAGATTCCATTCCAACAATGATAATTACTTTTTTTTTTTTYCCYTCTCTTTTCTCTCCCTCCCCCACCCCTTATTCAAAAGTAGAATATACTGATCAATATACTGAGGAAGATGAGGCCAGAGTAGCTGAAAGAAAATATCTTTGCAATGTGTTAGTTTTTTTAAAGAATGCCATGAACTTGGGGCAAGATAGGAAGTCATTGCCTTTTCTTTTTGTCCCATCGTGATTGACCTGTTAATTTATCCCAAGAAAATGCCAGACCCCTAAAAAAAAAAAAAAAAATGCAGTTTTCACGTTATATGCTACCTGGAAGTTACTGCTGACCTTTAAAATCCATTTAATGTACATTACTGTAGTTTCAAATTTAAACAGTATCTTGAAAAATACAAGTTGGGGAGTATCTGTCATGAACAGCTTGTCTTTCACCAGCAAGGAAGTAAAGATGGGTAAACAGAGTAATTTTCCTGAATCAGGAGTCTTCCTGAAGACAGTCAGAAAGATAGATACTATGACTGTATGAATGATACTGTGTTATTTAATCAAACTTTTATTTTGTTTTGCAATGGACTTCAGTTGAAAAAACCATAGTCCCCTCCATATCTGGTGCTGTAACTAAGTCAATCTGCCCCTGCTAATTGTTGATGATGCTTATTTGAAAAAAAAAATGTATCTTTGTTTCCTTCTCTTTAACTTTTCGGGTAGGAGTAATAAAGAAGTGGATAGAAATTTTGAAACATTTTGGATAGAAGTTAAAAGTAGTATCTTTTTTACATCAGAAATACTACTTTTTGCAGTAAGCATCATTGCATGCAACATGCTCAGAATGATGAGAGAGGAAAAAAAAAAAAAAAAAAAAAAAAAAAACAGAAATAAGAAACCCTCCTGACAGTGAAACCCTCTTGACAGTCAAGAGAGGGGAAAAAGAGAAGTATTTTACCTTTGGAAAAAAGAGAAATGCCTACTTCATTGACAACAAGGAAAGGGAATTCTCCCACATGCTAGTTAGCAAAAAGTTGGGACGYTGATGGAAACAACTCCAGTTCCCTTCAGTAGATTATATTCAGCAGAATTATATTCTGAAAGTTCCTTTCCAGCTAATTTGACTGTTGTGCAGCATGAACTTTACCAATTGACTTGTAATTGGACCATGCTGTCAATGGAAAAACTTACAAGTATTGTACATGACATTTATAAGAACATTACTGTCATCTAGTCCTCTATTATTGAATATGCAGAGAATTATAATTGGTCTAACAAGCTTAGTAACCTGTCCTACTTCCAATTATAATGTACAACCTTGTTTATGTCTTTTCTTTATTTACTGATATCCAGTGGCTAATAATTCTAACGCTCATTCCTCAACACAAAGTTGCCTAATCATAATGTTGTTGAATTATATTTTTAATATATATGTATTTATGCATGTATGTGTGTGTGTATATGCGTATATGTGTTTTACCTTATTTTGAGTTACTCTCTATATAAGTAAAAGTCTCCTGTTGCTTTTAAAGTACCAAGGTGGTTTTCCAAATATTTCTTAAGCTTGAAGTTAAGTTTAAATTATTATTCTAGCTTGAAGTGACAAAGTGTTTGTATGGATGTAATTCTYGGGACTGAAAAAGAGGGGGAAACGTAGAAAAATGAACAGGTTGATGAGCTCAATGCATTCATTATCAACTTATATTTGCATGAAGGAGAAACTCTTCACTTATTAAAAAATTAGAATGGCACCATTAATTTTGTTTACTACTCAAGCGATTTTTAGAGCATGTAAGATTTACTGGATGTTTTTCATCTGAGTATATCTTGTTAAACAGCTTTGTGGAAAGCTAATTTTAAGACCATAGCTCTGCAGAAATGCCTCCATTTGTGGTATCTCCCTAAAGCAGAGTCGTTCCAGGAACAGCAGTGATTTGGGATGTCCTGGAATTGCTCATTTCTTGGATTTTATTCTCACCGCCAAGCAGACTGTGGCAATGGACAATGGTGTAGCTGGGAGTAGAGGAAGGAATAGGGAAAAATGACAAAATCTAGGGAATTGGTATTTCTTGAATGCATTTACACAGTTAATTTCTCTCTTTTTTATCTTTTTTTTTTAATTTTTTTTTTTGGTGGGGAGGGAGGTGAAGGCGCTTCTGCTTATATAGTAGCTTGGCCTTTGCTGCCATATCCTATGTAAGCTCAGTAAGGACTCACTTGTGAGATAGCTGACAGTTGAAAAACATTTGAGGTGAGTGTTTAAAGCCTTCATGTTTGAACGGGAGAAGCAAGAGAGCAGAAAGGGGATTTGGTCTTTCTCCTCTTTTCTGTATCTTGATCGCTGCTGTAATTGTAAAGTCGTTACAAGTTTCCTCTTATAAAAAGGAATTACTTTTTTTTTTTTTTTTTCTGAAGTACCTTGCCTTCATAAAGGTACTCTAGAATTAATGCCTTTTTAAAGTGCACTTGTGCGTTTAAAGACCCTTGAAGGCTTGGTATCTGTCGTGCAATGTAGAGCTAACAGAATGATCCCATTTTCACTTCATGTCCTGATTAATATTGTATATCAGAAATATTAGTCATGAACCTCAGAAAACAGGAAAACAAGGCAGGGAAGGTGTGACAGGGAGGGAATTTTTACTCTCCTGTCTTACTTGTTTCTATTACAGTGCTGTGTCTTTGGAGCTAACAGCATGAAACCATGCTGTTTCAAGGGAAACAAGGGGAGCTATTTTGTCCAGAAAACCAGGACCCCTTTTTATTTGTGTTTGAATATTGACCTATTTAACTTTTTTTTAAATGTCACCTGTTCCTTCTGCTTTGTGAATCCATAGTTCAAGAACAATTGGAAACTATATGCTGTGCTGAGAGGAGAGAGGGGAAGAACAAAAAATGTGTGATGTAGACTACAAATATAAAAATAACTGGAATACTTGAAGTTTAACTAATGTGTGTTTGTGTAAACTGTATGAAAGATGAACATTTCAAGATATAGGAACAAAGGACTGGCATGTGGTATAGGTGCTTCAGAATTAGTTTTTAGCAAGTCAAAATGTGTTACAAGTTTAAAACTTAAAAATGCCTATACCTGCATTGTCACCTGCTTGTATTTAATGGTATGTGATTTTTCTGCACTCCTTGCCATGCTTTTCAAGTATGTTTTGGATATGCCTTTCTAAATTCTAAACACAGGTCTCCTGACAGAAACATAGATCTGACCTATCTCCTAGAACTGTACTATCTCAAATAAATTGCCCAAATAATCCTAGAAATCGTGTTTGTTAGCTTCAAATCAATAGTGATAAAGTTTCTCTGTATTCTTCCTTACTCTGAACTTCTGTCTAATCTATCTTTGTTCTCTCCTTCTTCTGCAATCTTTTCCTTGCTTCCAGTGGCTGCTACAAAGAGCAGAGGTAGAGGTGAGTTTCTGCTTGCGCTCTTCAACTTGCATTGCATGGTTTTGCAGCCCCACATATCATCCACCTCAGCAGGCTGTTTGCTACTTCTCAAAACCAGGAAACACTTTTAGAACTTGTGGTTTCACAGATTTTTTTCTTTCCTTAAGATTTTGTAATTGCTCTCAGGTGCTGGCTCTTTTCATTGTTTATTCGCCATTACCATCTATCTGTGCATTTTCCTAGAGTTATTTGAATTTAGGCAATTTTAGGAGAAAGATGAAGCTAAGTGAGTTGCGGTACAATAGTGATGGTACCCTATTTGAAAGGAAGATACTACATAAAATTCATCATAACTGTTTAAATGTAACTTGTTCATATTGTACTTACTGGAACATGAAATATAAATGAAATGACTTCTAAGCATTCTCCAACTTCCMAAAGTACTACACAGTGATCATTGATGCTTCTGATAGCCAGCTGTTATGTATAGAAGCTTGCAGTAATCACTGCAGAGAATTCTGAGGTAAGGATAGCCAGGTGATTGTCAGAAAGGGATGTGACAATGAAATCAGCCTTGCAAAATTAATCATATAAGGTCACTAAGGCCTAATCCATTTCCTGGGATTTAACACAGCAGTGGTATAACAAATTTAACCTAAAGGCTAAGGCTTTATTTATTTATGTATCTATTTATTTATTCATTAAATGTGAACATACATTTTCATAGAAAATTCTGGATAGACATATTTTGTTAAAATTGATCAGTTATTTTTGGTAGATTAAACTGAGCTGTTTGATCCTAAAAGGGTCATACTGTAATTAAACAACACATCCTAAGGTAAACATTTATGGTTAGATGCACGCAGTTCAGAATTTCCATGTTCACAGTGTTCGTCCAATTATGTTGCCTAGCCTGAAGATGTTGTTCAATAATCATAATCAAAGGAACATAGCTGACTATATGCGGTTATGTATTATAATAATGAAATCAATAATTAAAATACAACTCAATTTATTAAACTTTGCATGGCTTTTTTTAAGATCATCTTCCTCTGAAGCTTTGCATGCATTTGATGTCGTGGCCGAGGAGAGATGATTAAGCACTTGGCATGTTTGTCTCCGCATGCTCTGAAGTTTGCTTTACTGTTTCTGTTACCGACACACACAGCTGTGACATAGTGTGACAAGAGTCAGGAGTTTAAGGCCTTCGCAACATCATCAACAACACCTACAAGGCAAGCACGTGCACAGAAGCAGATTTTCAGCACAAATTATCATGTTCTCATCAGTATTCAGCAATTACTTCATGTACGCACGTACTGCCATTTGAGGAGGAACTGCCCTGGAGGCACAGGAATTATATATGAAATGAATCAGAAGTAGTMACGGGCTCCGCTCACCTGTGAACACTAGCACACCCTGTGTTCACAAACGCACATGCGTATTGAATAAAAAGCTGAACCTATCTCTAGTAAAGTTGCTTTGACGCTATAGTAAGAGCAAGTATCTTACGTTGTAGCTAAGTGTTGTCTTCTGAGTCCTGCTGTTCAATTGTCCGTGGGAAGTTGTCAGCTTTTTCTTCAGTCCTCAGCGACCTTGGTGTACAGGTACCTGGCCACCCGTCTGGAATTGAGTGCTGTAGTGTTCTCTCTTCATTTGCCTGAAACATGAGACCCATCTTTTAATCACTTGCGGTGCAACAAATCGATGACTTTTTATTATTATTATTTTCTATTGCTCTGGCTAAGCAGCAAGGAAGGATTTGTTCCTAATCCCTTTAAAATATAACACTTAACTGGAAGGGATTTGCCAGATACTATATTGGCATGCTTTGGTGAGGTAGGAGTGTCCCATTTGCTATGGATCTGCAAGAAATCCAGGTCTTTCATATCTTTGCTTTTATTTTTAGGTGCTTCTCCTTTTTCAAAGCTTGGAACTTGTACTGCCATTTTCTGCAGGTGGGGTTTATGATCATCCCCGTCCTAAAATTTGACTGTTCTTCAGGGCTTTAGTAGATGGTACTTTATGGGATGTTTCATGGGGCTGTAGTGTCTTCATTTTTTTTCTCTTTTTTTTTTCTTTGTTATGATAAAGACAATTTCTCATCTCCAACACTTTTTCGATCTTTTGTGTAATTGAACATTAAAGAACACTGAAGCCCTTAAACATAGTGCTTTGTCTTGAAGTATTTTCTCAGACTTTTTTGGAAGTTGTATTCAGTGATGGAGTTGTTGAACTCTGTAGTTAGCTCTATAGTTAGATCATAGAGTAATTTAGAGTGGAAGGTGACAGGGTTATTTGGTCCCAGGCAGCACACAGTATAAGGCCTACTTAGATCATGTTGCACAGAGCCTCACAGTCAAGGCTGAGTATCTCTGAGGTCAGAGATTACACAGCTCCAAATTAGAAAGACTTATCTACCTTCTTTTCTTTATTTTACMAAGGTTTTTACTTTCTTATGTATATAATTTCTCTTATTGAGAAGAAACTGCATATTAGTGTTTTAGTGTGCTTCACACAAGGAGAATTCTTGTACTTCAGAAAGAAGGAAGACTCATGCTGTAGAGCACCTTAGGACAGAAAATGCCAAAGAGCACTCGTATTCTGGACAGAATACACTAAATGAACCAGGTTATGTTTCCAAGAAATCTAGCTCAGAATGATCTGAAATCTGAGTAAGAGCTAAAACTTAAGCATACAAATGGTATTTCCCAGTATTAAATRTGATGAGACAGGAAACAAAAATGCACCCAAATATTTCAGTGTATCTGACTAGTTTTTATTTCCCATTTCCAAATATATTGAATTCTGTTGCTACTCCTTAATGTACTACATCAGATTTGTTTAACTTGATCTGTGTAAATTTAGCACTTCCTCTACCAAAGTACCAATTTGAACAGCTCCTAAGAAAGGATGCTTTTACTTTATTATTATAGATACCTTCTTGCAGTAGTTAATGGTTTCTAGGCTCAGTGGTGGTAATCAGAGGTATCAGAGGTGGTAATGATGCATCAATTTTCAGTCAGCAGGTGAAGGAGAGAGGCAAAGTGTCAGTCTTTATTCAGATGTAATTAGCTGAGGTACTGAAATCTGTGTTCCATATTTCTGCTTGTCTGATGGTGTCAGCTGTTACTAAAATGTTATTTCTGGAGTTGCTCTGCTAATCTCACACAGGCTGGGCATTTGACTTCATAACCTTTCAAAATTTAGATAGGAATTTGTGGTACTTGCTAGTTGATTTGGAGGTTGGGAATAGTATGGATGAATATGGCAACTTTTTCTGTACATATGTACATATAAAGGGGATGTTAAAGATAACTATTGTCACAGGAGGAAAAAGTAAGCCATTCAGAAAGATCTATCAGGAAGTTAGTAAGAAATATAACATTTCTAAGAATCCTGAGGGCTTAGATTAAATATATCAAAGTTACCCCCAAAGTGACTGTTTTCAGTCTGTTCACTGATCTGCAAGATTCAAACTAGCAGCTATTCCAATCACTCTCCTTTTCTCCATTGCTGCTAGACATAAAGTTCTATTATCTTAGAGACAGGTCACATATATCATAGTCCACTTGCTTCCCTTAATGAAGAACTACCCAATTAGTCTCTATATACATATAATGCTATATTCTGTCTTCTAAATGCTTGAAAAAGCTGTGCTTCCATGGATTTTAGAGAATGTTCAGTTAAGGCAGGATATCCTCAAACACTTTCTGCCCACCTCCCCCTCTCCTCCCCAGAGGGATTTCTGACTTGTATTGAATCTGTATCCCAAAGAAATTGTCCCTCATTTTTGAATATCAAGTTACTTTATCCTTCTAGTCAGCCATTCTATAAATCCATGCTGTATTTGCTTTGCTTTTAGAAGAGGACTGTTCTGTCTTCAGAAATAAAAGATTCATTTAGCTTGAACAATGTTACTTAAGACTTGCATCTCAATTACTTATATAAGTAATCATAGCAATTAATATTCTGTCTAAATGCATCTTCTCCAAAAGAGACAAAGATCGCTCCAGRTCTTTGTTTTATTGTGTTTATTCTTATGATGCCAGCAAAATTTGTATCAAAATTTTCAGAAGTATAAGTGAGRAGAAATTGTGTGCACATGTATGAGTTTTTATGCTAGGAATCCATGTCCATCTTGAGACTTTACTGGGTCTTCATCAATGGTGATGTTATACCCAACCATTTCTGTGATTTTTATTATGTCATAGGATGATTTAGCTCGTTGCTCTACATTAATATTCATTTTCTTGGCAAATATTGGTTTAACTTATCCCATCATTTTGACTGAAAATCAGACAAACCGAGGTAAGTTATTTTGAACAGCTCCCTGTATGGAAAATCTACATTGGATACTTCATTAGGTACCCAAATACAACTAGCCAAGCATATTTCTCACTAGGAGGGTATTTTTTCCTGAAACACAGAAGCTATTTGAGTTAGGAGCAGGAGAAAATAAACATACATGGAAGACAGCCACATACTTCTATTTGTCTTTTTTTTTTTTTTTTTTTTTTTTTTGCTATACCCTCACAAAGTTCCAAGCTATTTGACTATTAGCATCAGTCAGGCAGTAGATCTGGTGGTGCAGGATGGTTCATTACTCAGGGGTAGATAAATCTGGGAATCATCTGCATAAAAATGATATACTGCAACATAATGGCAAAAAATGCAAACTAGTAGTAGTGTAAAAATGTTGAAAGTGTAAATCCAATAGAGAGCCTATGGAAGCTCCATAACTCAAGAGCAGTTTGAAAGAACATTTATTTATGGYTATGAGCTTTTACCATAGAGACATGTAGAAATGAAATCCTGTCAAATTCCACCTTTAATACAAGGTCATTATACAAAGCTTGCCAAGGCTGTCATTGTAGCATCACACGATCTGAAGCTGATTGAAATTTTTTTTTTAGCTATTCCAATACTATTGAAATAAAAGTGCACTTCCTTCTAAAAAATTCTCCTGATGTTTTTGTTCCACATATAGCTTCATGCCCTAATCGTAGAATTTTGATAAT